ATTGATACATATTTTCATCCTTGCTATGCCACTCACAAAGTAAGTTTATTTACTTATTTATTTATCTATTGTCATGCATAACCTTCTATAGTTTACTGCAAGGTAGCCATGGTCATGGCATAGCATGAAAGCAAGACCTCATAACATTCATTTAGAATTGGAGAATCAGAATGAATAATTAGAATGTTAGTTCAATGGTTAAAGTCCAAATCTTTAGACTTCAGGCTTCACTGATTTTTTATTTTTTTTTAAATTTTAACATTTCATCTTTTCTTCTCTATCCTTTCTACTATCTTATGTAGGGTATGTTGCTAGTGTTGTTGTTATTATGTGCCGTCGGGTCAGACCTGACTCATAGCAACCCCTCCTCTTTGGGTTTCCGAGGCAGTATCACTGTGGAAGTAGATTGCCCAACCCTCCTTCCGAGAAGTGGCTGGTGGGTTTGAACCGCCAGCCTTCTGGTTAGCAGTCAAGTGCCTTAGGCACTACGCCGCCAGAGCTCCTATGTTGATAGTAGCTAACTTTATATTATATATACTACAGATGTATTAAGGAGCTCTGGTGGCACAGTGCCTAAGGCATTTGACTGCTGACCAGAAAGTTGGCTTGAATTTCCAGCTCACTAGTGACTCTGTGGAAGAAGAACCTCCATAAATCTCCACAAATATTTACTGCCTTGGAAACCCAATGGGAGTTGCTGTGAGTCGGAATCAACTTGATAGCAGTGGGTTTGGATTTTTGGATTTGGATACATGTATCATTCACCATATATATTATATATGTATATATTATATACATAGTATTAAACCATTCATCATTCATACCAGACTATCCTGTTATCTGACAATTATGACAATAGTAAAAAATTTACTTTGCAACTATCTTGCGAATTAACCTGGTTTCTTTCCTGCATACCGCTCCTGGCCAGCAGAACCACCCATGACTGAAGCAGCCAGCTCTCCAGAAGGCCCCTTGGCGTCCCATACCTACTACCAGAGCCGTTGTTGCAGCACTTCGTGAGGAAGAGGGGACTGAGGCCGACTTTAAGGGAGTTATTCGGAGAAGGGCTCACAAGTGGCCGGAGGAGCCTAGGAGGAGGCAAGGTTGAGGGAGCTGCTGCTGCTGCTCCCCTCTACTCAAGTGCCATGGAGAGACCAAGTCTTGCAGCAGGAAGGGTACTGGGGGCAATTCAGGATCTGAGGGCTACAGCAGAAGCCAGCCACCCCTTTCGCCTGTGCAACCTGGGCTGCTCTGCTCTTCAGAGCAGCTGTACAGTATCCAGGCCCTCAGCCTCAGATCCCAAGGCCTCCAACACCAGCAGTAAGTTGCTCCTTTCTATGGGGTACTCACCAGCCTGCAGAGGGGTTGGCTTGTGGGGTGGTGTGGGTAGGGGCATGGACACAGGCCACCCTCACTGACTGTCTTAAGTGCAGGCCTGCTGGTTGCCCGAGCCTCAGGGTAGCCAACTATACTTCTACTCCAGCTGCTGGCCCCAGGTCTACTGTAGGCCAGCTCTGATGGCGGGGTCCAGAGCACAACAGTGCCTGCTAGCATAGCAGTTCCAAGGGTCTGGGCTCTGGGACACCTCTGCATCCCCCTCCTTGTCCTTGTCCTTTGGAACATAACCATGCCCATAACAGAGGAGTGAGTGTAATCACATGTTCAAGAATTTTTATATGCAATCATAATGGAACTACTAGAGTAGATTTCATCAAAATATCCTGACTTTTGGGTTAGATATAATAACTGAGGAAGTTTTAGTCTCTCCTTTAGGCAGAGGGTGAGGATGTTTTGGGTTTTATGCATAATGCTAGATGGGAGCATCTTTTCCATTTGTTTGTTGGATATTTAAATGTGGGAAGAAGGATGGGTGTTGAAGTTTGAGAGGCAAAGGAATAGATTATAATGTAACTTTCATCATTCTTTTAGGTAACTAGTATGTGCTTCCATGTCTTAGATGCCATGAGTCTTGATGATACCACTTCTTATCACAGAAGCTGGAAAGACATTTTCCCAATCCTTCTAGGGTACAGGCCTTGCTGGTGCACAGGCATGCACCCTGCACTCTGCAATCAGATGGACCACTGCCAGATTTTGATCCAGGAGTTAACTGCATGAAGAGCTAGGGACTATGAAGGATCTATCATAACAAGTGTGACAATAACAGGAATAGCAACATCCAAAGTCCAAAGTTAGCAAAGGGAATTGTCCTGGCAGCAGTGGTCACTGCCAAGTAGCATCAGCGGAGGTAGTGGCAGCCATCTTCATGACATTGTTTCTGTAACATGATTGTGGACACCATTCCTGGTGTGTGGCTAACAAACTTGCTTCCAGTCCACCAGACATTCTGTGATCTTTCTCTTATTATTTTTTATATTTACTAAAAGGGAAATACCCATAAAAACTGCAGTTTAATCTGACAGTAAAACAAGGTTTAGAGCATTATATGTTTTAGCTTTAAAAGCCATAGAAAATATTCATCCTGTTTTCTTTCCTATGGACAGTCAATTTTTTTTTCAAAGAATTAAGCATGACTTTAATTAGAATATAAAGCAGCATGATATTCCTTAATCACTAAATGGTTTCAATAACTCCAGAAAGTTACCTGCTACAATGAGTTTGATAGAATATAACAGTTCAATATTTTCTTGTATGGGTAGCTAGGAATCATGATAAAAAGGTTCAATGTGAAATTTTATTATTGTCACACTATCTAACAATTGAAATTCATCCTTTATGATAATCATGCTAGAATAAAGTTAGGACCAAATCAAAGGCACATTTGTTGTAACTTTTATTACAATGGGGAACTTCTGTTGTTTTCAAAGAAAACAGCATTTTTTTACTGCAGGAAACTTGTACAAATGAATTTGAGATCTAAATTCTTCATAAAATATATAAAACAAGGATAAAATAGTCTGCAGATTTATTTTTTGAAGACTGCAAGGCTGGCATTTTTGAAATAGGCAACAGTTCTTCATTTCTGTGATGAGGCTCACATCTGCTGCTGACTGTGGTTCTAGCATCAGAAATGATTTCTTTCTTAGGGCTCTTTTCTGTTGGTGCTTAGTTGAGTTGATTCCAACTCATGGCAATGCTATAGGACAGAGTAGAACTGGCGCATAGGGCTTCCTAGGCTGTAATCTTTATGGAAGCAGGCCACCACGTCTTTCTCCTGTGGAGTGGCTGGTGGGTGAGCACTTAACCACTGCACCACAAAGGCTTCATAATATAAGTCTCTGACTTTGCAAAAGATTCTAATGAGGAATAGTTTCACCACTGTCTTTGTTACTCTGGGTCACATTTTTTCCAATCGAAATCATTAGAATATCTTTAACCGATAAAATCTGTTCCCTCGGCTCTGTAAGTCATTAAACATGCACTGAGCTGTAACAGAATATACTAACTAAAATCCTTCACCATTCACTGTATTAAAAAAAAGTTGTAAACTGCTTTGTCTCTGCTAAATCGAGGATTCTGAGCATACATTATTGGCAGTCTACTTCAATTTTCTTATATTGATGCATGTACATCCAGAACATAGGGCTCTTCTCTTACTTGGTCCTATTTTCCAATAAACTATTCTGAATTGAACTAAATGTCTCCACACCTCCTAAACCCAGGAGCACCAGCTTGTATGTGTGCATGATGCGTTGTTTCCATACTGATAATCCTGACAATCCCCTCAAGTTCTGGTGATGCCTCCAAGCCTTCCTCCCCCTTGCTGCACCTTCCACTTGACTCCCACTCTGGCTCTTCATGACAACACATGGTGCCTCCAGAATTTGCAAGAGGGTAAACATGAATGTCACTCCCTTGTGGTGCTCTACATACCCCAATATTTTTTAAATAACATTCTTTCCTCTAAAATTAGCCGAATTAGTTTTCTGTTACTTATATAGCTAAGACTACTAATTTAACCTGAACTAAATATCTATGTCTACAATCTCAAAACTCAGCTGACAGACTTACTTAAGGATCAAGTGATTTATAAAAACACATACATGTCCGAACTTTATGTTTCCTCCCTCCCTTCTTGTTGTAGAGATTATAAGACTAGAGCAGAAATAAATAAGCCAATTGCTACTCCAGGTATCTCAAATCTCTAAATATAAAAAGATCAAATGCCTTATTGGGCATGAATTGTATGAAAATGTTTCCTCAGCTGGTTAGAAAGATGTCAGGAGAGAGTGTGTGACAATGAAGGTGCTTTAGAAATGGATATGGATGCTATAAAAAGAACAAACCAAACTCACTGCCATTGAGTCAATTCTGACTCTTAGTGACCCCCTTTGGGTTTCTGAGGCAGTAAATCTTTACGGAAACAGATTGCCCAGTCTTCCTTCTGTGGAATGGCTAGTGGGTTTGAACTGCCAGCCTTCTGGTTAGCAGTCAAATGCCTTAGGTATTACGCCACCAGACCTCCTTAGTCAATTACTATTAGTAGCAGAAGGAGCTCTGGTAGCAGAGTGCCTAAAGCACTTGACTGCTAACTGGCGGTTCAAACCCACCAGCCACTCCTTGCAAGGAAGATGGAGCAATCTACTTCCGTAGTAATACTGCCTCAGAAACCCAAGGAGGGGTTGCTATGAGTCGGGTCCGACTCAATGGCACATAAACAACAACAACATTAGTAGCAGAAGTTGTGATCCTATGACACAGTCACTCTTTCTCTGACCTTTGTCTTAGTGGCAGATGAAGACAAGGACCAAATCAGAGGCAACAGAAGACAATGATTAATAATAGCACTCATTTTAATAAGTACTTTGAAGACATTTCAATCCTTCCACTGTAGATAAAGCAGATCAAATATTATCCTTCTCACTCTAGTGATGAAGCAGAAAGGACTCCTGACACCTGACTATGTACCATATTGCTGCAGTCAGTTAAGGGGACTCGGAACCCCAGCAGGACAGTTAGTTGAGTTAGAAAGTTTGGATAGATACAGAGGAATAAGGAATAAATGAAATAACCTAGGGCTAAGCCCATTAGGTCTCCTCTCAGGGTCTCAGTGTAAGTCTGGATCTCATGCAATTAAGCCACAGGAAAGGGAAAAGTCTTTCAGTGAAGGAAGATGAGAATTCATAGATAAACTCCTGAGTTCTAGCATTGGTAAAGGTTACCTTCCCCCCATCGTAATCCAGAGCAACTCCAATCTGCCTTGGACAGTAGGACAGGATCTGGAAAGGCTCGGGGCTAGCACATATATAGACTCCAGCTGAAGACAGCTGCAGAGTCCAGAATCCCTCCTCAGGAGTGAAGTTGAGAAATCCTCTTCTCATTACAGACTCTCTTGCCACTCCCACCAGGCAGAATTTTGACCATATTCCATTTTCCTGAGACCATTCCTCTTCCAACTCTTCATTCTCATTTCTATATCCAGTAGAACTATATCCATCAGTGATGCCTATGAATCCACCAAGATAGCTACTGCTAAACACACCTCTGGCTCCACTCCTATATTTCATTGCTTCTTCCTCCTCCTCTGCTCCCCACCATATCCTATCCACTTTCACTTCCCAGTACACTTTGCCCCAGGTGAAGCCCTTGCTGCCTAGCACACCAGGCTCAGGATCAAATCGCTGACCATGTTGGTATTTGTTCATCCACAAGCCAGTGAATATCATACTCTTCCCATTCGGAGACACTGAGAGGTAGCCATTGGCTGTCTGGGAATTCAGGACGATCCTCACTGTGGGGACAAGAGAATAAAAGTGTGGCTTCATAAAAGATACCAAAGGACTTTGTCCAGGGGGCTCTGGAGCCCTCCTAACAATAGTGGGAGAGACTCTTTGGGGACCAGGACAGAGACTACCGTAGACCTTGTGCTCATAGAACTATTAGCTCTCATATCTAGAGAATGGAGAAAACACAGGGAGAAAATAGATGATAAATTCAAGGGCATAGGCAATGTGGTGGTACTTGTGAGGAAAAGAAGGGGTAGGATATAATTATGGATGGGGGAAATTGGGGAAAGTTTCGTGGTTTTGAAATCTTGTTTTGAAAGGCTCAGGATAAAACTTGGGGTAGCCTAGCCATCATAAAAACATTTCTAGTTAAAGAGCAGATCCACAAGTAAAGGAGTTTCAAGGGGAAGCTGCAATTTTAGGTGGGAGAATTTACTTTATTTGAGACAGATATCAGTACATCATCCCCTCCAGATACTCACTTGTCTTATATTCCAGATCCCTTATCAATTTTCCTAGAGTGAAAGAAGAGAAAGATAATGTGAAAAGAAGAGAAAGATAATGTGATTTGGACAGCACATCTTTCTAGGTCAAATTCTCTTAATGGTGGGTAACACAACTTAAACATGTGATGGCTTCCCTGAAAGATCACAGGACATAGAATAATCAGTGCAGGAGACACTCAAAATTATCTAATCTAACATGGTTCATTTAAGGATCCATGTCAATATCTGCTGAATGAACTTGACACTTCATTAAAGAGGACCTTGGAGTATACTCTCTATTCTAGATCCTAAATTCTTAGTCTTAAATCAAACTATTCTATTTTCAAAAGATACCTCTTTGAGGTTCACTCTCTCAATATTCTTTTTTTTTTTTTTTTTAATTGTGATTTGGGTGAAGATTTACAGAGCAAATTCACTTTCCATACAGCAGTTCACATATACTTTGTCTCATGTCATTGACCACAATTTACCACAATGCAACAGCTCCCCTCCCACTTCCTCCCCATAGTTACCTCTTCCCAGTGTCCATCGTCCATCCCTCCATACACTTCTGCCCCCTGAGCTGTCTCCTGTGCATAAGCAGCCCTTTTTTCTCCCATGGTTGTTCTCTCCAAGGAGTGTATCTACCTCAGGTAAATGTTCAACTCATATGCCTGTCTTTTGTTTGGCTGGAAACCACAGGTGTGGGTTCAATTCCAGACCTGAAGGGCAGCTAGGGGCCACAGTCTCAGTGGTTCCACCAGGCTCTATTGGACCAGCAAACCTGATCCCCACTTTTTTTTTTTTCCTCCAAATGATTTTGAGGTTTGTTCCACATTGTTCTCCCTCTCTATCAAGGGTCTCCTACATAGATCCCCTTCCAAGTGGATGACAGTGGTAGCTGGGCACCATCTAGTTTTTCTGGTCTCATAGTCGTATAGGCTGCAGATGGGATGGTATACCAGTCGCTAGAACTAATTGTTTCCATGAATTTTGGTTTTCTTCATTCTTCTTTGCTCTGGACGAGGAAAGACCCATCGTTGCATCTAGATGGCAGCTTGTTAGCTTTTAAGATCCCAGTCGCTGCTCACCAAAGTAGGAGGTGGAACAATGTTTTGTATAGTGTTATGCCAATTGAGCTTGATGTCCCCTGCGACTATGGTCCCAAGCCCGCAGTTTCAACTACTCGGTACCTCTGGGTACCTGGCTGTGACCAAGCAGTGACCACAACCTTGCCCCTTGTCAGCTCTACTATACACCTGGGAATTCTGATAATCCACATAAATTTATAGGACCATTGTCTGCCAACCCTATATATGTTCTTGGATACTCTCTCAATTTCATAGACATACCTAATTGTTCAGCCTGTCCACCCATCTATCCACCCATATACCCATGTTTGCCTTCACTGACAACGCAGTACTCTATGTGTAAAAGGGTTCATATTTGTTGTCTGTACCTCCCATGTACCTCTCTATGTCTTTCTCATCCTCAATGCTGCAATATTGGTCACTCATATTTGGTACATTGTCAATATTCTTTTACTTCATCTTTAGATAGGAAGCATCTTATTTTTTTTTTTTTTCCCAACTGTGAGGCCTAGTGATTATGATTCTACCTTTTTCTAGGTAATTTTCTTAGACTGTCCCATGGAAAGTTTCCCTGGTTTTTGGTCCTGCATATATTGTCTCCCTCTGCCAGGTATGAATGACCTGCACAAGAACAAGCAACTCTGAGGAAGCCAAGGTCAGAATCAAAACCTCAGAACCCCTTCCTTCAACCATTTGTTTACCATGGAATCCTCTGAGTCCCTTCTCTAATGAAAGAAGTTTATCCGAAAATTCTTCTGTCTGTTTTTTGATTGCTGGACTGATAGGCTTTTCGATCCAGAACTTCTTCCGGGGATATCTAGAGAGTAGAGTCACAGTGGCAACTCATGAAAGAAAAGCATGAATTTACCACTGTCAACACATGTGCATGCACACACACCAACTATAAGTCAACAAAGGGAGGAAATGAAAGCAGCATTTGCAAGTGGTCAGTTATATAAACTTCTGAGAAAAAGGCCATGATCCAAGTAGTCTCTGTTGTTGTTGTTGGCATCTCGTCAACTATGGTGACCCCATGTGTGTAGGATGTAACTGTTCCATAGGGTTCCCAAGGCTTTGACCTTTCAGAAGCAGATTGCCAGGGCTGTCTTCTGAGGTGCCTAGGGTAGGTTCAAATCACCAAACTTTTAGCTTGTAGTTGAGTGCTTAACCATTTGTGCCACTCAGGGACTTCCAAATATTCTCTTCCCACCAATATATCATTTATATAGGATGTTTAACAAAACAGGAAGGAAGGAAGCCATTTTCTGCCTTGGAAGATCTCAGAAACTTCTAATGCTTTGCCTTCTGAAAAAATTACTTGAGAATACATACCAGAAAAATGAAAATAAAATAAAGTTTTAAATTTAGGGAAAGACAAGATAAACAAGAAAGAGAAAATGAATTACTAATCTAGTAAATTATACAGTTAATTTTTTCTGCATAGTAAACTACAAGTGTTAAAATAATTATTGGGAAAGAAGACGCATACTCCATAGGAAAAAAAAAATATCATAATAACCTGGAATTAAGATTTCAAATTATTTTTAAAGCCTAAGAGATAGGTGGGGAGAAGATTGCTAAAGTAAGGGCAAGTAAACAGGATGTCTCAGATTGTGCACTGGTACCCCAAACCTAAGAAAAATAAGGTCCAAGAACTATCCTATCCCCATTCTGATAGTACAATCCAGCCACGGATTGGGCCAGCAAGGAGGAGTGGTTCCACCCCTGTGGCTCCCAACAGACACACAATGTGGTGCTTATGTTTGTGCGTCAACTTGGCTGGGCCTGGTTGAGTGGCTGGGCAGCTGGTGGTAATATTCCTCATGATGAGACTGGTAATCAACTCCATGGTGGGATCTACCACAAGCAGCTGAGTAGCTGCCGTTGGGATGTGGTCTGCTTCCTGTATATAAGGAGAAGACTTGGGAATGGTCTCTGGCCTATGGCACGCTTGGACCCAGCATGTAGCCGTGTCGTTGTTGAGCAGCCTGCTATGCTCTGCCAACTGTGGGACTTACAATGGACTTAAGATAATGGCCTGCTGTGTGGTCTGGTAACATTGGGACTGTGCCATTTCACTTGTCAACCTTGGAGCTTCTCAGCCTCAGCAGCCAGCAGCTGTCTGAGTGAAGAAACGCCTCTAGCTCCAGTGGGCCAGGAGCAGGAGGCAGAGCTGAACCCCAAGGTTGAGGGGCTTTCACTCAGCCCCTAGAGCCTGGCATTTTGAACTTGGACTTAAAGCCTCCAAATTGTAAGAATAAACTCCTGTTTGTTAAGGCCATCCCATTTGTGATATATTCTTGTCAGAGCGGCACTAGGTAACTAGAACAGTATTTAATCCCAGGAAAGAAAAATTTAGGAATTCTTTACCCAAAACATGAAATAGGGCATGTTTGGATGAGAACCTAACTTTGGGGAACTTTGATGATACTATGCTAATCATCCCTGTCCTGTTTATTTTGTTGAATAATAAATGCCTATTGATCACACCATTAAAAGTGTCTGGTCTGTGTTCTGCTCCAAACAGTCTTTCACTAAGAACTTGTGAATATACTGACATTGCAGTAGAGAATGCACCTCAATATAATAATTAAAAAAATAATTTAAATAATTTCCTATTAGGAAAAAGAAATCACTGACAAATATCTTGTATCTTAAACAAATGTTATGTTAAACAGTAAATCAAATAAAAATTCCAAATATTTAGAAAACAGTAATAATAAAAATACTACATAATAGGAATTATGGTATGCAGTAAAAGCAAGACTCATAGAAGACAAAAATCAATAAACCGTTAATGAACCTAATTAAGACAAAAGGGCAGGCAGACATGGGAGATGAAAATACAAATACATACAAAGAAATGAAAAATATTCAGACATAAAGAGAAAAATTAATAATTTAAGGATATTATTTTGATCAACTATGCAAATACTTTTGAAGATACAATTGAAAATGATTTTACAGGGATGTAAATACTAAATATTTGTAATTTAAAATTTTAAACTGTCAGACTGAACTTATTAAAAATAAAAAAATTATATGTTGCTTATAAGAGATACGTTACAAAAATAGCAACACAGAAAAGTTATGAGTTAAAAGATATAAAAAGAAATACCATGCAAATACTAATCAAAAGAAAGCTGAGCAATTTTCTAAAATTAGACAAAATTTACTTTAAGGCAAGATGTATTACCTATTCTGTGTAACAATCATTTCTTATATAATTACTCATCTCTAATGTGTCTGTCAAGCCCTGGTGACACAGTGTTTAAAGCATTCTGCTGCTAACCGAAAGGTTGGCAGTTCAAACCCCCAGCTGGTCCTCAGGAGAAAGACGAGGCAGTCTGCTTCCACAAAGATTTATAGCCTTGGAAGTTCTATGGGGTAGTTTTACTCTGTCCTATAGGGTCTCTATGAGCCAGAATCAACTTGATGGCAGTGGGTTTGGTTAGGGTTTTTGGTAATGTGTCTGTTCAGTCTCCCTAGTCAGGATTTCTACTCTTCAGGATCTTGTAGCCTATCTCATTGTCTTTCTTTCTACCCAGTATTTGGCCCACAGTAAATGTTCAGTTTATGCTGACGTAGGTCCTTGATATCTCTGGAGATGAATTGTGTATTAGCAAAATGCTGGACTTTTATTCTTTGTTCAAAGAAAAAAAAAAGAACGAAAAAAAAGTATGTATTGTGTGAGTATGATTTTTAAACTGTCCATGCTAACTGTTTAACATACGTTTCTCCTCAGACTCCCTGCCAGAGAAATCATCACCCCTATGATTGATGTATGCAAGCATCCACTTCCCCTGGAAGGGCAGAGAGCAGGAAACTAGGAAAAAGGTTTGTGGAGCACGGAGGACAGTCTGATAAAGAACTGTGCTCTACAGAATATGTGGGAAAGTGTATTCAGGAGTAGCAGGTAGAAGGGGAAACATGAAAAGAAACTAGGTGAGAAACAAAGTTGGGATTCTAAATTTCCTCTGATACTTTCTCATTATCTGCCCCCTTTTAATTTCTCTCTCAGCCCATTACCATCCCAACATATGTTCCATGACAGTAATTTTTCTAGAACTCCATCCCTCATTCTGTGGAATCTTTTAACTGACCCTATAGAAGCCTTCTCTCCAAACAATCCCTTTCCCAGTTCTTATCAAATTCCAGTCAGTTAACATGAGAGAAAGAAAGAAGGGATACCATAGGTGGTTTGAAAAAAAAGAGAGAAAAAAGCAAGCAGCACTTACTTGCTTATTATGTCACTTGGGTCCTGGAAAGGAAGAGAACACAGACATTGTCATGGAAATAAGGGTCCTTGAAGTCATCCTCATCATTCCCTACTGTGGGCTCACTGGTGAATGGGTACACAACAGCAAATTATTCTGATGGGCCTGAACCTGTTCTGCTCTCTGCTGTAGTGTCAGTTTTAGGAACATATGTTTCCTTCCCCCTCTTTTCCACATTTGAGTTTAGACTACCCCCTTCAGAAAACCATTCTTGATTTATACCCTTCCTCCATTCCTCTACCATCTATCTCTATCCCATTAGATCCAGTTCCCTCTTGGAGGGAAGGAAATGGAAAGGAAAACTGCTCTTTTTCTGTCATTTTTATATCTTTGGTCATATCAAAGCCCTTTCTGACTGTCCCTAAATGAGATTGTCCTTCAGAGAGTTACTACCTAAGGCTTCCCTCTTAACTGCACCAGGAGTGTGATGGTAATATGGAGTCATGTGAAGAACTCTCTGGATAGTGAAGGTAAACACCTTTCTTTAGTGTGTCAAAGAAAAAGGAAGGTACTGTTATGAAATCCTTAGTATATACATTTGATTTCATTCACACATCCACCTGCCATTTAAAAAATTTTTTATTCTTCATAACACAAGCTTCTGAGATCAAGCACTGTGTAAAATATTGTACTTATTTTTATAGTTGCGAAAATAAGCCTAAGAGAGGATAATTTGAAAAATCACATTGATTGGTTTTTTAAAATATCTGTCCTATGTTGTCCCACTTCAGTCTCAAAATACTTTCTATTTTCATTTCTGTAAGAGTCTTTGAGCAGATTCTTTTAAGAGGACCCTTCCTCCTTTTTACTTTCTCCTTCAAACCAATCTATATAATTGACAGATTAATCTTCCTAAACAACTCTATTTCCCTGTCTCTAAATTATAAGAATCTTATTGTCTGTCAGTCAGTTAAGACTGAAATCTCAGCTTGCCTTGGAAAGTCTCTCCTCAGTTGGCTCCATCTTACCTATCTCATTTTCTCTTAACTTCTTCCTCACATAAACTGACTCCTCCAGAAACGTAGTTCCCTTCACTCCATACCCCTTCCTATCTGCTCATCACCTATACCCATTTCCCACACATATACTAAGTTTATCACCGCATTCATTTACCTAATTCTAACCACCACCTTCCTCCTCTCCCCTGGCCTCGCCAAATGGAAGTGGTCAGTGCCTTCTTTTTGCTAAACCAAATCTTTACATTTTCCTCAAGGCCAACATTAAGACCCTCTTCTTCCATGAAGCCTTCTGTAAGTAAACTCTAGTCTTTTCCGGAATTCCTGTAGCCTCCAGTCTGACTACAAGATTTAACCCTTGATTATTATTTTTTTGTAATTATAAATGTATGGATTTTACTATTTCATTGTATGGCCTATGCATATTACAGTCTCCTGGTCACTGCAATATGAGGCTTAAGACCTACTGGTTAGCTGATTAGCTTATCAAATAATTTAATAAGTGAAAATAACTCTCTCCTAACTCCTTGTCCAAATCTCTTGCTAAGCGGGGGACACAGTGCAACTTGGAATAAGAGGAGTCAGATAAAGTTTAGTTGGTCTCTCACCTGCAAAAGTTCAAGTGCTGGCTGCCGAGCTTTCTTCTCCAACTCAGAAATCAGGGTCCCAAGCCGGATGACCTCCTCAGAGCCCTTGGTAACATGACTGTTCCTCCCTTCAGTAAGCTCTTGCTCTAGCCCCTCCAGACATTCCAAAAGGTACTGCTCCCTCTCTCTTAAGAACTGATGGCCCTGTTCAAACACTGACACAATGTCTTGTCTGTGGTTCTGGAATTTTGTCTACAGCAAACGTAGAAAGAGAAAGATGATTTTTTTCTGAGAGACTAGGAAACAGAACATTTGTTAGATCTTATGGGGATAAGTTCAGAATGCATATCCCTTCCAACACCTTCCTCTCCTTCATTTTCCTCCACTCCTTGACACACACATGTACACAGAATACTCACTCAGGACTTCTCTTACCAGCAGGGCCTGAATCTCATCTTCTCCTATAGACTGGAAATTCTGAATCCGGTCCTTATCTCCCTTCAGAAACTTCAGATGGTTTAGAATTTTATTCTATGGAAATAAACATGGATAATCTCAAGATCAGGATAAAAATGACCTCAATAGGAAAAGAGATTAATACCAGTGTGAAATCAGAAAGTCTTGGCCCTTCCTATTATGTGCTATTGAATCAATTCCAACTGAGAGTGACTGTATAGGACAGTGTAGACTTGCTGCATAGGGTTTCTTAGGCTGTAATCTTTATGAAAGCAGATTGCATCTTTCCTCCCATAGAGCTGCTAGGTAGATTCAAACTGCCAAACTTTAGGTTAGTAACTTAGCACTTACCACCAGGGCTTCTGTCTTTGACCCTATGTAGTATAATAATAGTCATGTGGGACAGTTTCCATTCTAGTTAATGAAAAAGAGACACAGTGAGTGCTATGTTGGCTTGGAACAATTTCTTATAAATGAGATAAAACAATAATTCATTACATTACAAATATTAAGACTTATGGTATAGTTTTTATTTATGTTCACTCTGTCCCTTTCCATCAAAAATATAATTTATATGAAAATTATAACATAGAAATAGAAAATAAGCCCCAAAAAGTGAGGGAAATTATTTATGCTAACTCTAAATTATTGAGAGAATGATTAAATTAGTTTAAAATTCCTGTCAGCCAAGAAAAAAAGGGAAACAATAAATTACATCTTGCTTCTTTAGTAGACAAAAGGAAGCATGCTAACATCTCAGAGGACATAACATTTTCCCTGGAATTAAATTCTAAAAGGAAATTTATATAGGAGATTTTAATACAGGTTTGATATCCTCAAAAATATTTTATAGAGATTATGTGATAGAGAGCACACAATTTGAAGTTATATACCAACAAGGCTCTCAGAAGTGCTGGTATCTGTATTTCTGATTGAGATCTGATGCAAATGTCTTGGAAACCAAGACATCAAAGCAATGAGTTAGACTTACTATCTTAGGCTGGATTCTCTAGAGAAGCAAAACCAGTGAAATATATATATATATATATGTTGTTGTTATGTGCCGTCGAGTTGGCCCCAACTCATAGTGACCCCTCTTGGGGATTCTAAGGCAGTAGTATCATTACGGATGTAGATTGCCCAACCTTTCTTCCGAGGAGTGGCTGGTGGGTTTGAACCACCAGCCTTCTGGTTAGCAGTCAAGTGCCTTAGGCACTATGCTACCAGAGCTTATATATATATATATATCTGTTGTTAGGTGCCATTGGGTTGGCTCCAACTCATAGTGACCCTGTATATAACAAAATGAAACAGAATGAAACACTGCCCAGTTATGCACCATTCCCACAATCCTTGCTATACCTCAGCCCACCACAGCCGCCGTGTCAATCTGTTTTGTTGAAAGTCTTCTCCTTCTTTGCTGACCCTCCACTTTACCAAGTATATGTGTGTGCGTGTGTGTGTGTACATATGTGTATATATATACGTAGAGAGAGAGAGAGAGAGATTTATCTCAAGGAAATGGCTTACACTGTAGAGGCTTCTCCTGACTCATGTAGCTGCAGGGGCTGACGAACTCAAGATCAGTAGGTTAGACAGCAGGCTGCTGGATCACAGGCTGCAGAGACTGATGAATCTAAGATAGGCAAGTAAGATGGCAGGTTGCTGGCTTACAGGCTGTGAAGGCCAATGAATCCCAAGATTGTAAGGTAAGATGGTAGGCTGCTGGCTGCCAGGCTGCTAGCTCACAGGGTATGGAGGCTGACTAACCCCAAGAACTGGTAGTCAGATGATGAGGATACAGAGCAAGCAAGAGCCTTGCTGGAACATCCATTTATATACTGGAGACAGGCCACACCACCAAGGAAACTTCCTTCAATAAATTGGCTGCTCATAGCAGATCTCATCATGGAGGTGATTATGTTATATAAGATCACAAAATGGGGGATGACTGCACCATTACATAATTGCCAAATTACACCATTACAAAACTGCCTAACTATATCATAACTGCCAAATCACTGAGAATCATGGACCAGCCAAGTTGATACACAACCTTAACCATCACAGTCTACCCCTTGTCAACTTGGCACCTGTATGTATCTTCCTAAATCATACATAAGCTCTAAATAAAGGTAATTATAAAGTCATCTTCGCACCTAACATGATACAACTAACACATGTACAACTGAAAATCCATTAGCTCCATTGACATCTTATATTTTACAAGTGAAGAAAGCAAACATATTTGATGCACACATACAAGGAAGCAATACTCATAACAATTACAGTTCTAGTTTCTGCACCTGGTCATGCGGTTGGTATTTGGAACTGCCTTCTTCCACCAATCATTCTGTATTCCCTTTACCCTCAGCAAGCACCTCAGCTGATCATGGCTCTTTGCCTGGTGAAGTGACCCAAACCTTCACTCCTGAAGGGTCTGGGATATTGGTAGTCATGTTGGAATTGAGTTGTAGTTTTCCATTAATTTTAATCACAGGGCATGCTAGTACTAAGAGACTCCCTAAGGGATCTCCTGTATTCCAGATATATTCTTCTTTAGCTTCATTATGTAATATCAATCTGATTTCCCTTTGGTAATCAGGATCAGTACTTTGCCTGTTGACCCTGAGGAATGAGGAGCTCACAGTGACCAGGTAGCATTCTTAACTTCCAGTTCAGTGGAATCAGTGCTGTGTCTCCAGGTGAAAGCATTCCTCCCTTTGGAGCTAAGACCTCCAGACTCACAGAGCACAGGGTCATGGGGACAAGGAGCAAATTTTTTTTTTTTAGTAAGTCACTAGGGATAATACTGAGTTGTGCTACTCCCATTTCTACCTCTTGGTTTCTGGACGTATGAATCCTGGCTATTGGGGAAACAGCACCATAAACTGGATTCTGCTTTATAGCATATACAACTTCCTGAAGAGAATTTCCACAGCCCTGCAAAGTACTGCCACCTGGATTGTGTCATAACTGTGTGTTCAGAAAGCCATTCCATCATTCTATCAAGCCATCTGCTTCAGGATGATGCAGAATATGCTAATACCAGTAAATTACATGAGCATATGCCCATTGCTGCAGTTCATTTGCTTTGAAGTGAGTCCCTTGATCTGAGGCAATGTTGTGTAGGATACCATGATGGTGAGTAAGGTATTCTGTAAATCCATGTATGGTAGTTCTGGCAGAAGCATTGTGTTCAGGGAAGGCAAATACATATCCAAAGTAAGTGTCTATCCCAGCAAGAACAAAACACTGCCCTTTCCATAATGAAAGTGGCCCAATGTAATCAACCTGCCACTAGGTTGCTAGCTGATCACCTGGAGGAACCAGGGACCTCATCACCACCAAGGAAGAAGAGCCAGGAGTGGAGTTCATTCTTTGGACAAAGTCCCTGCGATGAGAACCTCCTAGACCCAAGGGAAGATTGCTGCCATGACACAGAGATCGCCAAGGGACACTGGGACCATAGATGTTGGAAGAAGACAAGGACCTTCCCCCACAAATGACAGAGAGAAAAGCCTTCCTTAGAGGTCCTTGTTGTTGTTGTTGTTATTTGCCGTCGAGTCGGCCCCGACTCATAGCGACCCCTCCTTGGGTTTCCGAGGCAGTATCACTATGGAAGTAGGATTGCCCAACCTTCCTTCCGAGGAGTGGCTGGTGGGTTTGAACCTCCAGCCTTCTGGTTAGTAGTCAAGTGCCTTAGCCACTATGGACTTCTAGCCTTCTAAACTGTGAGAGAACAAATTTATATTTGTTAAAGCCATCCACTCATGGTATTTCTGTTATAGCAGCACTAGATAACTAAGATACTGTTATAAAAGATAAAGAAACAAACCAGTTTTCTTATTCTAAATCCAAAGGGTAGCATTTTACCAAGGACTTACCATGCTAAAAAATTTGGAACTTATCCTAGAAGGTACTTTAGAATTTTTGGCAACAAGAACAGAACTGGGGTTCAACAGGCTTCTTACCCGATAAGGCTGGGCAGCCTTGTCGAGGAGAACAGCAGCATGGTGCCTGTGCTCTCTGGACTCCCGACACATCACACACAGTATCTGCTGGTCATCCTTGCAATAATAATGGAGTTTCTCCAGATGTCGCCCACACAGCTTCTCTGCTCTTTGCTCAGGTGCTCTGTCCTCTCTGGGTTGTCTTTCCTCATCTACCTTCATTCTCCAGATGTTCTCCACCAGGCTGGCCATCTGCCACACATGGCGGATATTCTCTTTCTTAAAGGCTGTCTTGCAGAGAGAACAATACGGGGGCTGCCTGGTGGATTCACAGACTTTAATAATGCAGTGGTAGCAGAAGACATGGCCACAGTCAATAGTTACTGGGTCTCTCAAGTAGTCAAGACAGATGGAGCACAGCACCTCATCCTCCAAATTTCTCAGTGGGGAGGCAGCAGCCATTATAGTTGTGCCTAAATTCCGCAGAGTTCCCTTTCAAAGCAAGGAATCACTTTCTAAGATGACATGAAGGAAAAAGCAAAATGACAAGATTAATAAACTTCAAAGTGAACCCATGAGAAAATAATTTTTATATTCAGACTCTTCCCATAATTTTGCCTCAAATCCAAAGTTCCTTCCAGAACACTAGTCAGAAAAGGTCCCAGTCTGCAGAGTTAAATGGGTGTCTATTTTAGGCAGCTAACTCTGTTATTGGCATTTCAAAGGACACTTGTATATGTAATGAAGTGAGGTATTCTAGAAGATTATGGGGAAGTAAATTCTCAATAAAATATAAGGGATTTGTGTCCTAGCATTTAGTATATCAGCTCAGTAGAGAATATTTGCTATAAACAATTGAATAGTAACCAGTTGCCATCTAGTTGATTCCAACTCATCCTCCATAGGGTTTTTCAGTGGCTGAATTTTTAAGAATAAATTGCCAGGTCTTTCTTCTGAGGCACCTGTGGATGGACTCAAACTCCCACCCTTTCAGTTAGCAGCCAAGTGTGATAACATCAACACCACCCAGCGACTCTAATTAAATAGCAGAAAATAAGAATTACAACCCTAGTCTGCAACATCCTGTGACCAGAAAAACTAGAATATGTCTGGCTACCATTAGTGTCTGTTCTGAAAGGGCTCACAATAGGAGGTCCTGAACAGAGTTGGAGGGGATAAAAATGTGGAACAAAACTCAAAATCATAAAAAAAAGAGCAGGCTTACTGGTCTGATAGAGACTGGTGAAAACCCTGAGACGATGACCCCTAGTCACCCTTATGGCCTGAAATTGAACTCACGCCTATGGCCTCCAGACAAACGACAGGCCTATAAGGTGAACAATTATACCAGGTACGTACACCACAGATAAAAAAAGGGAAGAGAGCTGTTGCATTGTGGGGAATTGCAGTCAATGTCATGAAGGAAAATGTTTATGAACTGTTACATGGAAAATAAATTTGCTCTGTAACTTTTCACCCAAATCATAATATAAAGAAATAAATAATGATGTATTAATATAAGTTTTCTTTTAAACAATTGAAGTTATACAAACTGTGTTCTTGGATCGTAACAAAATTTAACTAAACATAAAAAAAAATATATTTGGGAAATCTGTGAATATTTAGAATATTTAGAAATAATATAAACACATTTCTAAATAAGCTGTGCATCAAAGAAGAATCTTTATTTTTCTGCAGTTCATAATAGTTTCTAATTTGAAAGTATTATGAACTGCAGAAAAATAAAAACACAACTTCTCAGATTTGTGGACTGCAGCTAAAACAGTCCATAGAGTTTTCTTGGCTATAATCTTAACAGAAGCAGATCACCAGGTCTTTTCTTCCACAGTACCACTGGGTGGGTCTGAACTACCAATCTTTGGGTTAGCAGCTGAGTGCAAACTGTTTGCAACACTTAGAGACCTTTCATTAACAAACTAACAAAGGGAAACGGTATGATCATCTCAATAGATGCAGAAATAGCCATTGATAAAATATAAGCTCTATTAATGATAAAAATTATAGAAACTAGAAATAGAAGGGAATACTCACAATCCAATAAATGGCATCTATAAAAAAACAGAAATAAAACAACTATAGCTAATGTCATATTTCATGATGAAAGACTAAATACCCCAAATAGAGAACAAGGCTGGGAGTTTCACTTTTACTACTTCTTTTCAACTTCAACTTAGAGTCCTAGCTAGTGAAGTAGAGCAAAAGAAAAATAATCATAATCAAAAGGGATACAGATGGAAGATAAATAAAACTATCGTTACTCACAAACACGTCTATGTAGAAAATTACAGAGATTCTACAAAAAGCAAGTAGAACAAATTAGTTTAACAAGGTCACAAGATACAAAGTCAATATACAAATATACATTATATTTTTGCAAAAATGAGGGCGGTGTCCTCTGATCTCCTCTACCTTCACGAAGAGGGGAGACAATCCCCATGAGCAGCCCAAGGCTGATTACTATGAGGAGGAAGTCTGACATGCCACCACCCTCCAACCTTTTTTTTTTTTTTTTTTTTTAACTAATTCTGACATCACCTGTCCATCCCATGGCACTCACTACTCCTCTGCTGAGTTCGATAATTCATTGCAGTGGCCACACAGAACTTATAGACAATACTCATGATTATGGAGTTTATTAGGGAAGTAACAGGTTACAATTCAGGTTCATGAATACTCAGGATACACTTCTTCAATCAAGACAGCCTCCCTTTGGCCATGTCCAAAAGCATGCCTCGCTTTGGCCCTTGGCCTCAGCCTGGCCTCTGCCCTGCTCAGACAAGTGTCACAGAGCTCTTTTAGCTCAGCCAATAGGCGCATGTAGGTGCACCCCACTCCACCAGCAATCCTCCTACCCAAAGGCACTCAGTTTTCTCTGTCCATGGGCCAGCAAGCCTGCTGCTCTGTCTTGTGCCAGTCTCTCAGCTCTCATGTCAGTCTCTCTGCCAACTCTCTGCCAAGGAGGTCCAGCACAGGGATCTTGGATCCAAGGACATATTCTGCTCCAACTCTGGCTCTTTTCTCTTGATGGCACTGAGATCCCGTATTCTGCCTCTGTTGTTGTTGTTATACGCCCTTGAGTTGGACCGGATTCATAGCGACCCCTCCTTGGGTTTCCAAGGCAGTATCACCATGGAAGTAACTTGCCCAACTTTCCTTCTGAGGAGTGACTGGTGGGTTTGAACTGCCAGCCTTCTGGTTAGCAGTCAAGTGCCTTAGGCACTATGCTACCAGGGCTCCTTCAAAACAGCCTAGTACTGGTTTAATGACAGACATATAGACCAATGAGATATAACCGAGAACCCAAAATAAAATCATCTATCTATGGTCAACTGATCTCTGCTAAATCCATTCAATGGGGGAAAGAACAGTCTCTTCAACAAATGGTGCTGGCAAAACTGGATGTCCACATGCAGAAAAATGATGCACGATCCATACCTCACATCATACACAAAACTAATTCAAAATGGATCAAAGACCTAATGTTAAAACTAAAACAGTAAAGTTCTTGGAAGAAAACACAGGGGCAAAACTATAGGGCCTAGGTTTTTGTTTCTGTTTTTAAGTGACAGATTGTCAAACACAACTACAACTGTATAAGCAGCCAAAGACAAAATAGATAACTGGAACCTCATAAAAATTAAATACTTATATTCATGAAAATACTTTGCTAAAAGAGTAAAAAGAAAATCTATACAGTGGGAAAAATATCTTTGGGAGCAAAATATATCCTACAAAAGTCTATAAGGAGAATAAGAAGTACAGATAATAAAGGTAAATACTATTACATACACAATATTGCGTTATCAGTAATAGCAAACACTAATCTATAGGTAGATACATAAGCAGACAGGCAAGAAGATCAGGTATGAGTAGGTGAATGGGAATACACCCATGACCCTATATAGGTGTTTGTCAGATGATATTCCTACATGCGTATTTGTATGTGCTATAAAAATGTTCATATGCAGTGTGGTAGTTATGTTTGTGTGTCAACTTGGCTGGGCCTGGTTGAGTGGCTGGGCAGCTGGTGGTAGTTATTCCCCATGATGAGACTGGCAATCAGCTCCATGGTGGGATCTACCACAAGCAGCTGAGTAGCTGCTTTTGGGAATGTGGTCTGCTTCCTGTATATAAGGAGAAGCTTTGAGAATGGTTTCTAGCCTATGGCACGCTTGGACTCTGCATGTAGCCATGTGTTGTTGCTCAGCAGCCTGCTATGCTCTGCCGACCTTGGGACTTACAATGGGCTTAAGTTAATGGCCTGCTGTGTGGTTTGATAATATCTGGACTGTGCCTTTTTACTTGTCAACCTTAGGGCTTCTCAGCCTTAGCAGCCAGCAGCTGTCTGAGTGAAGAAATGCCTCTAGCTCCAGTGGGCCAGGAGCAGAAGGCAGAGCTGGACCCCAAGGTTGAGGGGCTTTCACTCAGCCCCTAGAGCCTGGCACTTTGAACTTAGACTTAAAGCCTCCAAATTGTGAGAGAATAAACTCCTGTTTGTTAAGGCCATCCCATTTGTTGTAGATTCTCATCAAAGTGGCACTAGGTAACCAGAATATGCAGTATAGAGCTGACAGAGGACAAAGTTAGTGTTGGAGACCAAGAAAAAGATCACCAAAAAAAGGACATGATTGCAAGGCACATGTTCTAACAACAGCTAAGAGAAGGCAAGGCCTCTCTTACGGTTGAATGCTTGCTTGGCTCCAGCTTTGCATTCCTGAGGAGGAACGTTGCCCCAGCAGAATGATTGCTAACCTGTTTCCCTGGGATAATGTTTTGCCCTAAGAACAGTATACCTTAGAAACCATGCTTTAGAATCATGTACCTTAACAATTATATTATGTTTTAGAATGATGCATCTTAGTGATTATTTGCTATTCCTGTAAGAGATATTAACCTAATTAACTATCCAATATATCTGGGCATGGGGAAATGCCTTTGGGTATGGGAAAGAGTAAAACTTTAACTTTTAATTAATAACTGATTGTTCTAAGGAAATATTTGATTTTATCGTAGAAGAATATTTGATTGAATACTTGATTATTTTAAGGAAATATCAAGACTAATGATGTAATTGTGTGCTTATGTATAAATAAAGCAGGACGGATGCATCAGGGGTCACTCTTGCAGAATATGCAGGGTATCCGCCTGGACCCTGTTCCTTTTAAAAAAAAAGCTTTTAATCCTTTCGTGTTGCTTTGTTTCGTGACCTGTGCAGTTTTGCTGGATGCAACAAGGTAGAATAAATTCTTAGCTACAACTAAGCACCTTGAGGGAGTAAGTCATTGGGCCTGCAGGCTCGGGACCATGGTCATGCGGAAGGTCAAGCTCAATTGGCACAACATAGTACACAAAAACTTTGTTCTAAGCATGGGAGAAAGAAGGGCTGCTTATGCACAGGGAGACAGCTCAGGGGGCAGGAGTGCATGGAGGGATGGACACAG